GAGAGAGAGAGAGAGAGAGAGAGAGAGAGAGAGAGAGAGAGAGAGAGAGAGAGAGAGAGAGAGAGGGGGGGACTGTGCCAAGCTGTCCATTATGTGACTGTGACACGTGCTACTTCGTTTCTTCTTTGCCTTTTGCCTTCCAGCAAATGTTCCAAGATGCACGCCTGGCGTTATGGCTCCCTCCTATGTCAATGCTACTCCCGACAAGTCCCCCCCACCCGAAGAGCAACTGCCAAAGAGCAGATTGAATTCTGCTGATTGTTTCATCATTCATACAATGCAACCCCCCTGCTTCTTAACATCAGTGGCACTCCTATGGTTGGAGGCGCCTTCCAACAACTTCCCCGGGCCAATCGTCAACGACATCATCCGTGCCCACCAAACTGAGATTCACCCACACGGGCTTGCACTTGCACACACAGCGGCGCCCAAACTCAACAAGTAAGCACGGGGCATACATGCAAGGTAGCTTGATCACAAACATATCCAGAGAACACAGCAAACAAAGTCTGATTCTCAATCTTTACCAAAAACATCAACGGGACAACGGACTGGATTTTCGCAGAAAAGTCCAGAGTTCTTGCACAGCACAAAACAAAAACGATGCTGCAAAGGTAACAGCTCCCCAAACAAAACGCGCAAAGATAAAGATAAAGAAAAAAGAAAGTTCGGTGGTATTCCCTGCTATTTTCTTGCACGCGGGGTTTCGTCTGCTCTCAGGCTCTTCTTTTTCTTATTGTGAAACAAGCGGCATGTTATAGGGCAGTTCATTATGCGTTTTCTTGCTTTTGTGCTTTTTTCTTTTTCTGTTTTTGTGGGCGAAGCTGCCACGGGTCATCTAGTACTTAATGATGTCCCCTATTCAGTCCTATTGTCGGTTGTTGCGAAGGGGAAGTGGAGGAACCAAACACCCATCCGACAGACCCATGAAGCCATCTAACAGACCCATAAAACACGCATGAAACGCCACGAACTACTCATGGAACACCTTGAAACATCCATGAAACATCCATGAAACATCCATGAAACACACCGTGAATCAAACACTCGTCAAACAGCCATCAAAAAAGCCACCTTCACGTTGACTGAACCCTTGTTGGTAATGTCTGTCTGAACTCCACATTGTTTCTGAATTCGTCTGTTGAGCCAATTTGAATCGCGGTCACTCATGGCATCCCTGGTTGAAATCGGAATGCAGTATTGTCCTGTGCAAAAATAACATGCACAAATTGAGAAATGGTCCAATGTTTTGCATCCATGTTATGCAGGAATTTGCAGCTGATGAAGGAAAAAGCAGTGATGGATGCGTTTCGGTCCTGAGAGGGTGTTCTCTCGTCTGTGTTGTGCTGTGCTGCGAGTGAATCCCTGTTAATGTGGCAAGATATCTGATCAACTGATCATCTGTGGTATTGTCCATCTTTTTGCTTTTCCCGGGGGGTGGGGGGGGCTGGGGGAACTCGTTGACAGGAACGAAGCCTGCTGTGCTAGTTGCTGGGATCATTTGGCGACATGTGGCTTGTTTATGGCCGAGGTTCAAAACTGGGTGTGGCTAGGTTATTCGTTATGACGCACACAAGGCTGCAATTATGTGGATGTAGGGCGTTTTGAGCCCATCACTTGTGCCTATGTGAGCGTTTACTTTTTCTGCGAATTTGTGCCCTCGATCACAAAGGTCAACCCCTTGCTTGCAGATGTGTTAGCTTTGAAAGGGTTACCGTGCATCTCGTAAGTGTCCGATGAGAAGATAGCACTAGAAAAATTGCCAGATTAGGGGTGCACTTGCGACTGGGTCATCACAGAGACTTCCTTCCATAAGAAACATACACACAGACACACACAGACACACACAGACACAGAGACACACAGAGACAACACACACACATACACACACACACACTCACAGACACACAAACACACACACAAAACACACACACACGGACTTGTCAATCCAAGAAAGTTCGGAGAGGTGTTTCCACCTGTTGTCCTTCCTATCCCTCTCAGCGGAGAGGTTCTCCTTCTGCTAACACATTGTACTGCTGTTATATGAACTGTGCCCATCCACCAGCCAGCAAGATGCCTGTCTTTTGTCGAACAATGAAGCCACCGCCATGCACGGATGTGACCCGTGCGTCTCTTGCTTCTGACCTCCCAGCTGAGGAGCAGGTGCGGCTCGGCCAGTCTTACCTGCATGGGAAGAATAAGATAGCCAAGGACGAGATCCGAGCGGTCATGTGGTTTGCTCTTGCTGCGGAGAAATGTGATGCTGCAGGAATGTACTGGCTAGGCCTTGCAATGGAGGAGGGTCGCGGTGTGAGGATGAGCACAACCAAGGCTGCACGGTATTTTCCTCCTCCTCTCTTTCCTGCTCCTGCTGTTGCCGCTGCCTTCCTGCTGCTGCTGTTGATTCTGCTCTTCTGCATCCTCGTCCTTTTCCTTCCTTCCTCCTCCTCCTCCTCCTCCTCCTCCTTCTCCTCCTGCTCCTCCTCCTGCTGCTGGTGCTGCTGTTTTGGTGCTGCTTCTCTGATAAAGAGAGAATTAGGAAGAAGCTGCCTTCACCTCTTGCTGGCCTGCATGGTGCCTGCTGTGTCAACAGCTATCTGAAAGATCCCAACTCCTCCCTATTTTCCTCAGCAGGTGTGCATCAGTATGAGGTTCCTGTAGCTTCCTGTGTGGGTGTTTGGACATGGCTTCTCTTCTGAAGGCCAGGGCCCACTGGTGCTATGTTAAACGGAAGAAAGTCGAGCAAGGTCGTAAAGCTGGCCAAGTTTTAGTTCCCCAAGCATGACCGACATCAGTGGGGCATGGCCCCTAAAGGGCACTAGATATCGTGAAGAGACCATCAGTGTTGCTTGCGTCAACTGCTGCTTTTCGATTCCCTCTGCAGTGTTGGATGTGTCTACGACATCTTCAGACCTTCTCTTAAAGTAGGACTATTCCTAAGCCTCTTGGCTGGCAACTGGGTGCGCTCCCGGATCTTGTGCTCTTCTTCTTTTTTCTTCATTCCCCCCGCTCCTCTCCCCCCACTCCGCCTCCCTACCCCCTTGATAACACCAGCTCCAGTCTAGTGGTGGGAAGCAATAGTCCTGTCTTCCCACTCCCGTCCCTGTTGCGTTTTTCGTGCTGAGTGGGGAGTATGGATCTTGTTCTCCTTTTCATTCTTTCTGGTTTTAATAACTTGAGGCTCCGGTCTCCTCGTGGGGAGCAACAGTCCTCTCTTCAAACTCTCTTCCCTGTCTCTCACATGAATCTGATCTTGTGGGATGTTACTTTTGGGGTTCACGTTTCCGGACGGGAAGGTGTACTGATTCGAATTATGGGTTTCCCGGACAGTCGATCTCCTCAAGGAAGTAATGAAAGCTGCTGGGGTTCTGTTGGCCATGACAAAAGGAAGCGTCTGTTAGAGTTTTGCCTTTTATCACTTGGGGGGGAGAAGTAAGGGTCCGTTAAAATTGGAACGATACAGAGAAGATTAGCATGGCCCCTGCGCAAGGATGACACGCATAAATCGAGAAATGGTCCAAAAAAAAAAAGGGACTGAGGCTCCCCAGAATGGAATCCTGTCCTGCCCGAAAAACAAAAAAATGAGAGTGTAATCCAAGCAGAAATGAACAAAGTGTGACATGAAATAAAGGCTTAGAATGAAACCTTGCTCCACTGCTCAACATTCTAAATGTATCTGGAGCTGGTGATGGTCTCGATACATCCAACAAATTGAATTTCGAATTTATGTGGTCCACATTATCCGTGTACATATGGAGTGTAGACACTGTAGAGTAATGGAGCGAGGCCCTTAGACCAGAAGAAATTAACTGTTGGCCGCTGGCGAAGCTTTGCTGCCCTGGTAGGTTCCCCTGCATGCGACAGGGCACATAGACTGTTGCCACTTGGCAGTCTGTTAATTGGGTCCTTGCAGAGCAAAAGTATTTCTCTGATTTACACCAGCTTTCTTTTCTTTTCTTTTTTTTTTACACCAGCTTTCCAGCAGTCTCTGTATGTGTAATTGTGAAATAATCTCTCAAATGTGAATGGTGGGCGAAAATTCCAGCAGTTTCTGTATGTGTAATTGTGAAATATATATACGATATATATATATATATATATATGTCCTCTTCTCCCTCTCTGCCTACGGTTTACCGGGCAGTTCTATTTGACGATATATATAGCCTCCTGATGAGTCGGTGAAACTCCGACGAAACAGTTTGTCACAGCCCCTCGTTTGTTGTCCTCTTCTCCCTCTCTGCCTACGGTTTACCGGGCAGTTCTATTTGACGATATATATCAGCCTCCTGATGAGTCGGTGAAACTCCGACGAAACAGTTTGTCACAGCCCCTCGTTTGTTGTCCTCTTCTCTCTCTCTGCCTACGGTTTACCGGGCAGTTCTGTTTGTGACGATATATATATATCAGTCGGTGAAACTCCGACGAAACAGTTTGTCATAGCCCCTCGTTTGTTGTCCTCTGCCTACGGTTTACCGGGCAGTTCTATTTGTGACCGATATATATGTGACATATCTCAGTCAAGGAACACGTGAAAGCCTGCAACATCACTCTCCACTGACTGTCTAGATGAATCCAAGATCGGATACAGTTTGTGACGAATTTGGCTTTTCAAAACTGCGAAAACATCAGTCAAAACTAGTTCAACAAAGCATTTTATTACTGAAAGATGGGGAACAACTGATATGACAAATTTTGCACAGAGATGGCTGTTTTCCACAAACCACAAGGATATAGGTATTTTATATCTAATCTTTGGTGCAATTGCTGGAGTAATGGGCACATGTTTTAATGAAATTATGTACCCGTAAAAAATGGCCGGGAAATCCTGGCCTTACGGGTACCACCCTTGAGTTAGTGCACTGCAAGAAATGTCACCTTCGGTACCTTCTGAAAAAAGTGGTTATAGTCAAAATACAAAATTGTTATTTCAAAGTCGTGCTCTCCCTCAACTAACAGAAATTCATAAAATAAGACATGACAAAAATAAATTAGCTATTCGACGTCGATGGTTGAATCATCTTACACCATTGTCATTAGCTATCTGGTGGTTAGATGATGGGTCAATTATTTCACGAGGGCGAAAGGGAGTCTTATGTACTGATGGTTTTGACGAAGATTCTGTGAAACTTTTGTATCTATTTATTGGTGGGGGGGTTAATTAACACTTACTACCCCAAAACCCGGGGACGCGTGCCAAAGGGTAAACATCTAAGTAGCTAAAGGAAAGCACATCAACCGAGACTCCGTTAGTAGTGGCGAGCGAACGCGGATTAGGCTCAGCAGGAAACCAAAGTTGTAATTCAGTTGTCATGACGTTGAATATTTGGAATCGTTGATTACAACGAGTAGGATCCTCAGAGGCTATATGCCCAGCAACCATTCTATCTCTCTGGTTGAAGATATAGTCTGATGCCATTAGGGAACTAGTGGTTGAATTGACCCCTACTCGATTCACAAGCATTGCTTTAATAGCTGCTTTATTTGCTTGAAGTCGTGTAAACCAAAAATTAATTAACAAATATGATGCGAGACCTACTCGTTCCCATCCTAAAAACATTTGAATCAAGTTATCCCCGGTAACTAACATGAGCATAAAAAAAGTAAAAATAGATAAATAGCACATAAATCGAGGCAGAAAAGGATCCTCAGACATATATGAGATTGAATAAATATGAACTAAACTACTCGTTTGTTGTCCTCTTCTCTCTCTCTGCCTACGGTTTACCGGGCAGTTCTGTTTGTGACGATATATATATATATATATATTGGCTGTTCCCTTCCTCTCTTCTTTGCCTCTTTGCCTTTTGGCTGTGTGCAAGTGGGTCGATATGACACACGGGGGTGGGGGCAGCCGCCGCTCAACCTACATCCATGTGGGCGGCCTTGTACGCAAGAGGTTCTGAACAGGGGGAGTTGTAAGGAAGAAGATTAAAAACGAATTTAAGATTTTTTTGGTTTTTTGGTTTTTTCGCTTAGGCGCTCTGATATCATGTGACAATATATATATAGGTATGATTTCAAAACTGCAGCAGCGATGCTCACACGCCGCATGCTTTTTCGCGGGCACTCTCCAACAACGCTTGCGAAAGGATGGACTTCCTATATTCGTAAACGTCAACACAGGTACCCTGCGCATGTGACCCACCTCTCCAGCTGGTTCCGCAGCATGCTTCGATGGTCTATTCATCACCCGCTTTCTCGGGTATCTACACACTGTCCTCGGACTACGCCTGTCACAGCCCCTTCTTCATTATCGGCGCCTGTCACACCTATCACAGCCTCWTCTTCATTACCTGCGTCTGCCGCACCTGCATCCTCATCAGTCTTAGTAACCCCTTCCATGCCGTTTGTGACCCTGGCTGCCCCTTTTCGGTTCGCAGCCTCTTCCTCATCGGCCTTGGTTGCTACGATTGATTCCGCGGGAGCAACTCGACCCGCAGCTGCTGTGTCGCCTTTGGTCTCGGTGTGTTCCTCCATGGCATCCGTGGCCACCGCAGCTGTTGTGTCGCCCTTGGTCTCGGTGTGTTCCTCCATGGCATCCGTGACCACTGCATCTGTTGTGTCGCCCTTGGTCTCGGTGCGTTCCTCCATGGCATCCGTGGCCATGCCTGCATTACCACCTGCAGAGTCCC